TGCTGAACCCAAAGCTCAGATCTCCCACTGATTCCACACACACTGTTTCTCTCTACATTTAGCTTAACGTAATTGAACCTTTGCTTCCAACAGCACCCGAATGGCACAAGGCCTCAATTTAACATATTGTTTATATGACTTGGGCAGAAGATGAGAAGAATACCTCTTCTGGCCTCTTCATTATTCAGCATGAAATGAATGTTAAAGAATATACAAACGTAGCAACCTGCAATGGTATTTTAATAGGGAACCTTTTCTGCCAGGAATTTAAATAAAATCTGAGCTCCCAGCAGTAGCTTCTATTTTTCAACATACCCCACTGAACAGAGCAACCTCATTATTTCAAGCATGTTAGTGAGTTGCATTATAATCCACTAAATTGCACAGCAGGTTTGCTGCCACTGGGGTACATAATATCTCAGGACATAGATTTTCATAATAAAGGTGATGACTATGATGAAAAACCTTACTGAAATCAGCCTAAGAACTCCCACAAAGATCTGAGATAAATCGTTTGAGTTTTAAGGGATGATACTGCTGCAGAAATACATAACCTAAGAACAAAATAATTCCAGCCAATTATTTAAAAACAAAAACCAAACAAAACCCCAAAATTAAATTTAAAAAAACAGCACAACCAGAACAGTTCTTTTTTTTTTTGCTTAGACTTTTTCCTCTTCAGGGCCCAACCCTGGGCTGTGGACTCACTTCACAGGCTACATGCCATGCTTGCCATCATGCTCCCATACAGCATGACACCACTTTGCCACCATATGCCTCATTCAGGCAGCACTGATGGCAGCTGAGGCGCATCTCTCTCTCTTCCAAAAAGGCAGGCTGCTGCCCAACACAGAGAGCAGGGGGCTGCTGGTGTAGGATGTTTGGCATCTACTGATGTGTTCTTGAACAACCTTTTCCTTGGAGCCATTTTAAAGGAAGCGGAAACACTTAATTTCCATGTGATAAATTCACAGAAGTAGCTTAGTGCCTGAGAGTAACCCTCTACAGCATTCAGCAAGGGGAAGCAGATTTAGCCCTGCTTGGCAAGTTATGCTGCACTGCCAAAGCTGGGTGTTGCTGTGAAACATTTCAACCCACAGGTGGGATTTGAGGCAGAATGGCAGAAAAAAGGTGTAACACTGTTAGTGAGGAGCAGGGGAGATCCACAGAGGAAATGAAATTTAGGCTGGAGTTTGTGGTTGCAGTTAGCCTGCTGAGTGCTCCTGGGGACAGGCTTCTGCACGTAATAACTGGAACATGAAAATAGCCTCAGGATATCACTTCTACGAGAGCCGCATCCACAAGTGTGGCTAAGTATTAAAACCCAGAGTTCACCTCTTGATACTCAAATTTCAAGTGCCTTTCTTTCTTAGCCAGGAGTGGAAAGAGGAGCAAACAGTATTGGAATAAATGGAGAGCAGCCCAAGTGCATTATTTACAATGATGCTTAGGGCTTGCTGCTTACATTTCCCACAGCCAGACCTGCAGTAGATGGATAGACTGCACAGACAAACTGGTGGCTGTGCTCAGGCATCATTTCCTTTACCAGGCAGAAATACAAGGCTTCAGGGGAAGTGAATTTTCAGTTCCCTAGATGGCAGTAGTCTAAACCAGAAAAATCCCAGTTGGGTCAACTAAGTGTCATATTTAAAGTGAACGGGAAGCTCCTATTTGCATTTCAACCTTATACAAGCAGAAAAATTTCAGTGGTGTCACTCAGCTTAGGCTGCTGTAAATTCAGGCTAAAAGCAGAACTGGAGAGGGTGGTAGTAATACACACTACAAACACCAGAGGGAGCGTTAAGGAAGAGTCAGGAAGGAGGGGGAAGACTAGAACAATAAGATAAATCTTAAAGAGTAACTGTCTGCTAGAATACTGTTGAAATCTGCTCTTTTCCCCCAAAATCAACGCACAGCACAGCTCCCACACTTCTGAGCCATCCAAAGCTGTATCTCACAGCTGAAAACGGTTGTTGGTGCATTTAGCACTAACCCAAGAGAGGCCCACCTCAATTCAAGCTAAATCAAAATTAAATCTTGGGCAGGGCTATATGCTTAGAAAGGCACAGACAGCTACTGAGAAGCTCTCTTTGCAGGAACAGCAAGTTTTCTATTTCCAGCTTCCTTTCTGGGATTTTGTACTGCTGGCAAAATATATCCCTGAGAAATTTTCTTACCCCTTTTCTCATCTCCTATGGAGTGTAATACCAGAAAAACTCCCTAATTGAACTACCTTGCAAAAGTGAGTTGGCAGGGGGCTGGAGCCTAATTCACTTTATGTAACTTCAGGCTCCTCTTGAACTTTTTTTTTCCTTTGTTATTGTGCTCATTTATCATGCTGGCTGGGTTAGTGCATAAGCCAGTGTTTCTCAAAGTTTTGATTGCTGGAACACAATGTCCAGATAAAAAATGGGTGTATTTGACAAATAAATCTCCTCCAGCTTCCCTGACCTTTCCCATCAAGGCTGGCAAGTGCCCATGTGAGTAACAGCTGGGCCTGGAACACTGCAGGGCCTTTGCCTTGGCTCTCATAGTTCACCCACTCTTGCCTCGCTACTGGGGTTGCCGAAGATGGATGGAAGGAGCAAAATGATCTTTACAGCATGTTCCTGATGTCCTCTGGCTGTGGCCTAATCCTTCTGTCATAGACCAGGACTAAGAGTTTCCAAACACTGCAAGCTCAAAACAAAGAACAGACGCCTGCCCTGAAAAGCCAAGTGCCAGGGAGTAATAGTATCACAACACCAGCAGGCAGATGCATTCAGGACAAGAAGAAAAAAAAAAAGCAGCATCTGACTGTGAGAATGTATTTTTCAGATGAAAAAAATAGCAAAAAAAAGCAGCATCTGACTGTAAAGAGGGTTTTGTTGTGTTGTGCTGGGCTTTTTTATTTAGGTGCAGTGAAAAGGCATTTCAAAATAAGGACAACCAAGTAATTCGCTGATGTTTATGGACTGTCCCATGTCTAAGGAAGAAAAATACAGAGAAAGAATATGAAAAATTACAGATCTGGAAATTGCTTTCTGTAGTGAATTCAAAGCACATCATTTTATAAGCACTTTTCTTTTTGTGTGACATATGATAGCTATTTTGTAATTCTTCCCCTTAAGAAAACAGAAGTGTTTCAGAATCTTCTATATAATTTAATAGCATTTATGTGCCTGCTATAGTGGGAGATAGTCTGGTTTTCCAGGAAAAGCAAAAAATCTTTGCCATAGGTCCTACTGATTTAGGAATAGAACTCGGGTAGTTTCCATCCTCTATTAATTTTGACTGTATATTCCTCTGAAAAGAGCATTTCTTTCTCTTCAGGACTGAATTATTTGAAATTCCTTACATGCTTTGTAATTAAAAACTGCATCCTTCAGTAATGATTGCTAATTACTTCAGAAAATTGCAATCTGAAGCCCAGGGAGACAACATGAAATGTCCATTGTGGGGCACACCAAGGCAAGGATGGGCTGTGGAAGAGCCTTGGGACCATCTGCTCACAGTCATGACTTGGTGGGAAGCATCAGGCTGACCTCTCCAGACAACCAGGAGCCTACGTAGAGACCTGGCTCTGCCTCAGCCTCCCAACCCACCCTCCTGTGCACCAGCAGCCTGGCTCTGTGGCGTCAGCCAGCTGGAGGCAGCAAGTCCTTGGCGTCGCTGAACTGCTGCTCATCCCTCTGCACTGCCAGGGTTTTCTGGAGCCTGCTTGCATGTTCCCACATCCCTGACATGGTGCCAGCTGCACAGCCCATTGAGCCCTCACTCTCTTGGCTCCTCCAGCTAACTCTGCAGCTGCGCAGAGCAATCTGGTAGCCTGTGACTTCTTGGATCCCTTTCCTCCTTTCCTATACCCATTTCTTGGGGAGTGCTAAAATCTAAAGCAAAATCTAGGCAGAAACACATGCCTGAGCCAGCCAAGTAATCTGAATTTAACCACACAGACACCAAAGTTTTAAGCAGGAAACATAGTTGGATTTCCAAAGTTTGGCACTCTACATGTTCAGGGGTACAGCTGTCTTCTCTGAGCTGAATGCCTCAGCACTACTCCCAGGTCCAGCCCCTTCCAAAAGCCTGGAGATGCTGTACCACACTCCTGGAATAGTCCAGGATGTCTAGCCTGTCCAGCACAC